ATGCTTTAGTTACTGTTGCTCTGTAAACAATATGCTTTTGCTACACATGCATACACTTAAGTTGCAATAAGTGTCATTAGCACATCATAATCTGTCTATCCGCTCTTTAAAAAAAAAAAAAGCGAATAGTGGGTGCTCTGTTTGAGGCGAACAAATATGATCGAGAAGATTAAAATGGAAGAACGTTTCCCTTCCACATCTGGATTTACTTTACATGAAAATTAGTTTTCAAACAAACAAAAAGCTGCAGACAACTCGAGTTGAACTCAATGAGCTAGTTCAACTGTGGCTTTCTTAAATAAATCCTGGGTGCAGAAATAGTTTATAAACAGATGCAGTAGATGTGCCTTTGGGTACTGAAAACTGGGAACCAAGTGTGCGCACATCAATTACATGGCTTATATATCAAAGTACTTTGGGGTAGTGGTTAGGATGCGGCATATTGACTAGTTAACCCTTTCAGCACCAGCATTGCTCGTTATCTTGACAAACATCTGGTTAAGGAGCCTATTCCAAAAATAGAACTTACATTTTTGGTGACTTGAGAGCAGAATCGTTCAATTTTGGCTATAATTGACTTTGGAAAATATAGATTTTTTCCAACTTGACTAATTTGGCCTAAATTTTACAAATTGTCAGCTGTAGAATCCTCATTCTATCTGGTCCACAATGCTTTCACAGAGACATATCACTTTTTCAAGGTGATGGACAGTGCATGAAAAGTGTTTGCCCTGTAGTATAATGTGCTGCAGGAGTGAAATTAGTTAACTGAGCAAGGTGTTCCTTTGAAATCCCATATTAATTAACTAAATCATTTGCTCATATTTTGTATTTATTCAACATATTGCATAGTAACACATTTCATGTGATGTCCATCAACATGCAGGTGTCCTTTTAAACTTGGTGGAGTTGACCACCCTGTTACCAGTGCTTGATGTTCAAGACAAATTATCACTATATGATAACGTCAAGAATCTTTATTAAATTCTATATGAATGAGGCGGTCATTGTTTTGACTTTACATTAGTATTTTACATAAGAGGCTATATGTCTTCAGACATTGCCACTTAAGCTTCAATGATAAGATTAAAGGAATACAAATGCTCCTCTTTGTTTTTAAGGGGAACAGAAACAAAATTCTGAATGTTTTTAGTATGGAGGTGTATGTAAAGCATCAATTCTCAGAAATGCTGCAAAAATGTGTTTTATACTTATTGCCTACTGGACTTTTACCACATTAAAGGGACACTATAGTCACCCAGACCACTTCAGCTCAATGAAGTGGTCTGGGTGTCAGGTCCCTGTAGGGTTGACCCTGCCTGATGTAAACATAGCAGTTTCTGAGACACTGTCTTCCGGACAGCCACTAGAAGCGCATCGGCAATGATTGAGGCATATTATGAAAAATTGAAAAATGCTTTCCTACGGACACTTTGAATGTGCGCGCGGCAGTGCATTCGGCACCGGTGATGTCAGACAAGGATGCTGATGTCAGCGGGGGAGGAGAGGTAAGGGAGCCCGGCGGTGGAAAAGGGTGAGTACTTGAAGGGGTTTTAACCCCTTCAGCACTGCGGGAGGGGGACCCTGAGGATGGGGGCACCCTCAGTGTACTATAGTGTCAGGAAAACCAAGCCCCACGTACTTCACCATATGTAGTTTTTCATTCCCAGATTCCTACTACCATTTCACCCTGATTCTCAGGTTGTATCCTCTGTATACTAGTTTGTGTCCCACCACCCTCTACCTTATACTTCCCCCCGGGGTCGTATTTTTGTTCACATATATTCTTTTTGCAAGTGTTTGTGAGGTACACTTTTGTAGGGTGGCTGCATGTTTTTGCCTTCGTGTTTATATATAGTATATATTTTGTTTATCAGGGGTAGCAAGTAGTATGTCAGCATGACTCTTTTTCTTTACATATTATTTTTATTACTCTTGATATAGCGCTAAATGCATTCTGCAGCACGTAACACTTTTACGAGGCTATTTAACAGCAAGTTATCGACAAACAAAATGACAAACAAAAAGTCACTTCTTACTGACGGGAAGTACAGGAAAAGTGCTGCCCATAGTATATAGCATTAATATTGTAATTCGACAAACAAGGCATTTGGATTGCACTTTCAGGTTATTCACTTAATAAGGAATTATCAGGAATTCAAAGTGAATTTCACATTTTAGACAAAAAACTGCTGAACTGGAACCTTAGCTGATTTGGGGAATTTTTCCAATTAAGCTATTGTGGCCTTACAGCAGATTCTAAATTCACTTTGGAAATGTTTCACTTTTTTTTCACGGAAGCCAACCAGTATATAAAATGTATACATGTCCAAGGAAACATAGTGGATCAGGCAGTCGTAGACATAGCTTTAGTGTAGAATCCACTTTTCCCTTGTCCCCTTCCAGTTTATATATATGATGTTATACGCAGGTGACCTCTGTCTAACACAGCACATTCACTGGAAAGGGAGCATTGCGGAGATAACTGTCTACCAGAGCCACAATTGTACAGCTCAGGTCTGCAGACCTTTAGGTAAAGACGGGGTCAAAGGCTTGCAGAGCTTTCAGTTCTCTTTCTGTCTCAAGTATCTGCTTTTTTTTTTTTTTGTGAAGATTTGCAAAAGAAATAGGGCATTCAAATTTTTTTTAGAGCAATAAAAGAGCAGCCTCTGTTTCCTATTGGACACAACATGTGGCACACTACACAATTATTAGTCTGCTCCTTCAATGCCTGGAATATTTCATTTTGTAATGCCCTGTATTAATAACCAGATGTGATCGTCTTTCTGCCCTGAGGTCAAGTTCCCTGACCAGGTCAGGCTGTTAGTCTGTGTGCATGGGTTGTGAAGACAATTTAAAATGACAGGTATAAAAAAAAGGGGTAGGGCGTTAACCTCAAGACCACCAAAAGGGGCCTTCTCCCTGCTGGGAACAAAGATCATCAGGATAGACTTGCTTTCTTTCGGTGCACTCTTGGGATTTTAACCAATTGAAGAAAGGAAGATGCTCAGCGAACGGGCTGCTACTCATAGCTGATACATAATTTAAGACATCCTATTAGGAGCTGGCTAATATATATTTTGCTTTATATTTAAGCACAATTCAATTATTGGAATTTGGTTTCCACTAGTCTTATTAATATATATTTTTGCAGCCGATGCATTTTTTCCCCTAGTAATTGGATTACGTTTAATAATACAGTAATGCTTATCCGGTTCACATTGTAACCCTTTTTATGCATGAGTAATGTGTTAGAAATGGCTGCAGATATCTAGAGTATGTGAGTTGTTTGTCTTCATCTTAATTTATCATTTAACCTCTTCATTGCCGGAAGACCAGAAATTACTGTAGGGATTTGGCTATTGGTCAGTTTGTTAGCAAATTCAGCGACCCTATATACATTCGGTGAAGGATATAATGTCAAGACTGGTGCCATTGGTCAGGGCAGGACAGAGACAAGGTTCATATGTTAAATAGTTCAGACATGAAAAAGTGCATCTTCATGTTGCAATGTTGTTTTAGCTTCTACTGTCTGAATATGGATGAACTGTGTTTGGCATCTACAGACAACATAAATGTGTAAAATAATTTCACTTCATTATGTTATTCTAAACAATGGCTTGTTTTTCTTAATACTTTGTTTTAATTTTTTTGTTGTTTTGGAAAATAATAGATTTGTCACATTTATAACTCCTATCTATCAGATACAGCCATTTGATTAGACAGTATTTTTAATTGCTGCATTTTTTTAAAAAATGTTTCAAAGTGTATTGTGATGAGCTTCTTAGTTGTTTGATTCACTAAACAGTGATTTGGAATTGTCACGTACTGGCGAGTGACTAAAATTTTAAATTCTAGGCCAAAGTAATAAAAGATCAGATTAGTTATAGATTTTTTTTCCAAACTATCTTAGCCCTAATCCTCAAGGCAGTTTCCTGCTACCTACAACTCACACTGGTTTATGCACTAAGGTGAGAATTGAAGGTGAATTAAAGTGATTTTCAGATATAGTGTCAAAACATTCAAGTTTGAAAAACTATATGTGGCTATCTATACTTCCATCCCTGAATTCCTTTACGGTGGTAGCTTTCACTATTTCCACTGGATGACTATTGCAGGTATCTACTTCCTTGCCAATTGTGCCAGATTTTCCCACATAGTCCCATTTATTGAGCTCCAGCAAAAAGTAACCCTGGAACCTGTCCCACATTCTAGAGAAAGAACTACTAGTAGTGCAGCCAGTGAAGCCACCTCAGGACCCACAGGAAAAAAGTGTGTCACTGTGCGTGTGTATCTGCTTGCAATTCAGTGTGTGTGTGTTTGTGTGTGTACATCTGTGTCTGTACTTGCTAAAAAGTGTCCCTGAATTTTTTTTTCATGTGTTGCCAGATATGTCCTCAGTCTTTTATGCTCCATTATAAGCAATGATAATTCTTTACTACTTCCCAAAATACATCACTTTACTAGTTATGTGTTCTTTTAACTTAGAAGATGCTCTTTTTTACTGTAATGGCAATTGCTGTCAGAATATATAAAAATATACAGTTTGTATGTTTGAAATGTATACACATTTGATCTGTTTAATATTCAGCCAGCATTATGAAGGCCTTTGTCACAGAAGACATTTTCTTTCTGTGGAGAAATATTTGCAATGCATCCATTTGCTTCATAATTGATTTTCCACGTTTGTTGTTTAGTGGATAGATAAGTAGAGCTTGTGATATTTGATTACAGAGCAAGGCACCCATTTAACCTCCTGTTTCGTTGCTGGCCAGGATTTCTGACAGGAGATAGTCCACCTCCCTCAGGCTCTAAAGGATAAACCTTCTAGCAGTAATCCTTAATGCTGTGAAACAGACCTGATAGCTGAGAGAGTTCTGCTCACTCCTTAAATATTATGTTTGCTATGGGTTTCACTAGTCTAAATTTAACCCCTTGGACTGTGAGGCCATTTCAGGATGAAAACAACTTAGTATCAACCTAAGAGGCATAGGCACCTTCGGCACTCCAGATGTTTTGGACTACACCTCCCATGATGATATGCCAGCAATATGGGGGATGTAGTCCACAACATCTGCAGTGCCGAAGGTTGCCTATCCTGTCCTAGTACATGAACTGAACTGCAAACATGTGAAGTGGATGTGGTAAGAAATTTCAAATGAAAACTTGAGAAGTACAGATTGTTTACAAAAGTTGTAAAGTCTTCTGCAAACTCTAATTGTGTTGATCCAAAGTTGTTTTCATCCTGAAATAGCCACATTAATTTCTGGAAAGAACTCACAACACAGTTTGCGCAGAATTTGCTAATAAAGTAACAAAATAGACCTGAACAAATATATATATATCAAACATTAAACATCAAATAATGAGTTGTTAGTACATTTCAGAATTGTTTCATTATATTTACAATTAGAAGGTATTTCACCTTAACGCATTAACAGACCTGACAGTAAAAATGCATGGCTTTATTTGTGCAATTGAATTTGCTATGTTGATTTTATTGCTGTCATATAGCAAATACGTAAACATAGATGAAATGTTTGTTATTGTGACTTTTATTTTACATACCTTTTATTTGTATTCATATTTCATTTGGGGTTGCTTAGTAAATACCTCCATAGAACTACCTCCTTGGCATGCTATGCACAGAAAACAGGCCTAATATCTTTTAAGAATTATTCACCAACTGATAAACTGTAATAGGTCAATAAGTGAGTTGCAAAAGTTACGCCAAACTACCCTGAAGAAGTGTTTTTGCAATTCAGCTTTTTTGGTCTTCATTTTGTAACGTGATTGTAAACTTACTGCAACTTATTATTGACTGAATAATTTATTAAAGGGACCGGCCAAATACCTAAATCACTTTAGCTTGCTGAAGTGTTTATTGTTTAAAGAGTGTCTTTTTTTTAAATTTTTTCAAAAAGTTCTGATTTCAATACAAATTGCCACATTTTTAAACTAACCGTGTTACACCTCCCTGGCTGTCAATCAGACAACTGGTCGTGTTACTTCCTGGTTGCTAAGCTCATTGCAACTAAACTAAATGTACCTTGCAAAGACATCTCATTGAGCTGCATTGGGAAGTCTGTGATTGGACACCCACAGAAAATCTGGGCTAGGGAAGAAGGAGAGGGCTTGCAGAGGCTGCAGAAAAGAGATTTGAAGCTTTTGCAAGCTGATTTTGCTTTCCTATTTTAAAGGAAGGATGTCCATAACCCTGTTACTAGATCATAATGGCCGCTGTGCGCTGGTACAAGCCTTGACATGAAGAATGGAAATATTATAGCATTTGTTTCGTTGCCTGATGTTTTAATTTGGACATAATGAGCTATGTCACTATGAAGTCATCGCTACTGCAAAGTAGGCAAATCATTCAAGCTCAGTTGACATGTTACAACATGTACTTTGTTCTGTGATGGTGATGTGGCATTAACACTTACCTTTATATGGATATAGTTTTTCAACGAAGAAGGCTATACAAACAAAATATTTTTTTATAGTCATTTGATAAGTAATGGGATTAAGTGTTCAATAGGCCATTATATCGACACCATTATCTAACTACTAAGTACAACTGGTGGCAAATCAACCAACAACCCCTCAAAATGTACTTTTACTACAGACATTTTGCTATGAAATGCCATTATCATATACGGATTTCATCTAGCATGGAATAAACCTCCGTGCACTTGAGAAGCACTTCATGAGATCAACACAGAGTAGGCAGACAAAGTTTAAAGGGCACCCACTTTGCAGTTTTTCAGTCAATCGTTCTACTGGGTGCTTGCTCTGAAAAGCTTTCTTTGGGTAGAATGTTGTTGATCTTTTATGGGATTTTTAAGCTATGTATTAAACCTTTCGCAATCTCTTTGTGTTTTGCTTATCATTTAATACTTTACATTATTACTTTAAAACTCTTGTCCGTTGGTACTATCAACAGGCCAGACTGTAGGAATATCTAAAAATATATATAGCATTATCAATGAATTTGAATATTTCTTTTTAGAAAAAGAACAATTTACCTTTACATGAGAAATCCCCTTTTATAAACTCAGGCGTCCAAAGATCCCAGATAATCAACATCTCCTAATTTTTTCATATTTATTAAATGAATAAAAAAAAAAGAAAACTGCACAAAAATACATGAAATTGGTAAATATATATTTAAACAATACCACAAAGCCCTGTGCATAAATTCATAGTCGATTTGTTCCCAATGTATTCCATTCAGTTCAATTCACTGTGTTTATAGGATTTTTCCATTTAAAAAGCAGAAAGAAATAGAAAGACTCATTGAACTGGACTAATTATTAGGGTCACAGAGAGCATATGTAATTCAGAAGGCCCGAAGGGTTAATGTTTATGTTAATTTAAAAATCCTTCTAACAAAAGACTAGATAGGATGATGGAAATCATATTCAAGCATTTTTTCTTCCCTTTTCTAAAGGCCTCTTTCAATCATTGCCAATGGCAAAACTCTTTTGAAAATAGGATCCATTAAAGGTAAATGTGGAAGGTAATTTAGTATAAATATATTATTTCAGAGAGCCCATTTCTTCAAATGGATGTTTTTAATTTCTGTAAAACTGTAATTCATCAGGCTAGGCAAGGAGAAGTTCTTATTTCACTGCTTCTTGTTTTGGCTTCTAATTCTTTTTTTTTTCTCTGTCTATCTTTTTTCCGAGCTCCTATTCTATCTTCCCCCATCTCTCTCCTTCAATTTTCTATTTTTTTTGTTTGTCTGTCCTTCTTTTGCTCTCCCTGGTGATCAGAAAACAGCATGAGGGGAGTTTTTAAATTCCTTGTTCTAGGAGTAAACCGTCCCATTATTTTTGCTGTCTCTTAAGCTCCGGGGGAACCCTGAATAATACTCAGGACATAAGCAGTAGATTTTCAGTGTCTGTTTTTCTTTGTCTGTGGTTTTGTCACTCCGCAAGCATTATGAAGAGAATGTCTGCTCTGTAATTCACTTTGCACTTATTTAATTTGTGTTTTCATGGTCAGAAGGGGACATTTTGTATATCTGATATACGAGGAAGCATGATACAAACCAGAATCGCCTGTCACAACCACAATTAAACCCTTTTATGCACATTTAAACACCTGCTCAGGACTTGAAGAATTTATGCAAACATGCTAATGTTGTTTGTTTAACTACGAGAATGTTTAACACATAAAATAACATGTATGTGGACTAGGGCTGGAAAATATTATAGGGCATATTCACTAAACTGAGACTTGTGCTAGGCAAATACATTTTCTAGGCATCTACTTCGGCCTATATTTTGGAATCGATTTTTAAACCATCATAACTTCCCTGTTTAGTGAATAAAATGCTTAGGTTATTTAATTGTGATTTATAATTTAAATGCTTAACTATTTTTAAAATCAGAAACATTTCCTTGAAATACAACACAATTTAATAGAAAACAAGCTGTTGCTAAGGAGTTTAGAATATAATCCCCAAGACTAAAATAATGCTAGTGCACTATCATTATATCCAGTCTATACTAATTGTAGCCAGTGGGCTGTTTAGCATTGCGTTTGATAATATCTATTGAGTGAGTTAAACTATATACTATTGTTTATTGTTATTGAAGAACTCAGCCTGCACTGGCGGTTAAATGGAACACCTGGATCTATTATCTAATTACCATTTTCTGAGTCATTATTGTATATTTTGTTACAGCCTGAGTTTTAAACTTCAGGACTGAATTGAATCGTCAGAAATCTTTAACCACTTCGGTCACCCTGGGACCTGTAAAAGAATGTGCAGAACTGTGGGAGTTAAAAACGCTTATAGCGTAGTTCAAGAGACAATTAGCAAGTTACAAATCCTGCATTATGTTCATCAGTAACATTCCGAAACTTGGTTTGAAGATTTTGCTCAGTGTTTTCACCAGAAACAAAAGCAGGAAAATTAAAGTAATCTTCAAAGCAGACACCGGTATGTAGAGTAAAGCTTGGCATGCAGATTAACTAAACCTATTCTTTTGAAACAAAGCACCTCTCAGAATAGAAGATGGCTGCATAAATATGGGCCCTTAACAAAGTGATGTCACCCATGGCAACTACTATGTATCTCAAACAGGACTGGGCAACAGCAGATGTTGTATTACTAAAAGTCTTATCACCCTCGGTCAGGCAGAAAACAATAAAGAGGTTGATTTGGGGCAGCTGAAGACAACTGGATGGTAAACATAAAAAGGGTTCAAACAACTGGTTCTCTAGCTGTTGTTAAACTATATGGACGAGTTCACTCACCCATTGAAAAGGGCATCCATGAAAACAACATACTCAGTTCAACAGTTAATATCCAAAGAAGCATTTAAAAACAGTGCCAAAATTCATAACAGACTGATGTCTAGTCCTAAAATGGCCTCTGGTGAGGAGTGAAATGATTGGCTGAACTCTGCCAACCAATAGCATTGTTCCATTCACTTGACATAGAGGTAGTGGCTTTCCTTACAAAGCAATCATTTAATACATAGACATAGGTGAATTGTGGTAATCTGGAAATCGAAGTGCGAAATTTACACCAACATAGCTAAACTGGCAATATAGTTGATTTGCAGAATCCAGCACAGCTATTTGGGCCTGTAATTTATATTTTGATTCGCAAGTAAACAGTACACTTGTATCAGAATAATTAAAGGTTTAGGGGCACTTAACTGTCCTGCAGAAGTCAACGAAAATTAATAGCATTTTTCAGCCCGTATTTTTATTTTTCCACATTTAACTTTAAATAGCTGTTATCCCAGACAAAGCCATATGTGAGAATTTTAGTATTGATCTTGTTGTTTTGTGAACCAGATATACAAGCGAGGAAAAATTTATTCATAACTGATTATGCCATAAATATTAATACAGAATTAAGAAATAAAAAAAGCATATATTACTGCAATGTATCAAAATATTTGCACTATAGATATTTCTAGCCTCAGCTAAAATGCATTCATTTTTAGACGTTTTATATTCTATAACTATTTTCCTTATTACATCAGAATTTTTTTTTTTCTTTAATGAGTGGGTTGTGTATGTTTGTCAGTGTCCATGCACACATAAGTGTACATTCCCACAAATAA